TCTGGGACATGCTGAAAGTGGTCCTTAGAGGGAAGTTTATAGCTCTAAGTGCCTACATCAAAAAATCGGAAAGAACATGAATAAATGACTTAACATTGCAACTCAACACATTTGAAAAGCAACAGCAAACGAAACCCAAACCCAGAAGACAAGAAGAAATAGCAGAAATCAAGGCAGAAATTAATGAAATTGAAACAAAGAAAACAATACAAAGAATCAACAAATCCAAGAGTTGGTTCTTTGAATAGATCAACAAGATTGACAGACTGCTAGCTCAATTAACCAAAAGAAAGAAAGACACCTCCAAATCAACAAAATCAGAGATGAAAGGGGAAACATCACAACAGACACCAGAAAGATACAGAACATTATAAGGGAATACTTTAAAAACCTATATGCTACTAAATTTGAAAACCTAAAATAAATGGATGGATATCTAAAGGCATGGGAACCACCAAAACTAAACCAAGAAGAGATTAGCAGTTTAAACAGACCCATAACACAAAAAGAAATTGAAATAGTAATACAAAACCTCCTGACTAAAAAAAACCCAGGACCAGATGGAATTACAGCCAAAATCTATCAGACATTTAAAGAAGATCTACATCCAATACCACTTAATTTATTCAAAAAGATAGAAATGGAGGGAGAACTTCCAAATTCCTTCTATGAAGCCAGCAGCACTTTAATACAAAAGCCAGGTAAAGACACAACCGAAACCAAAAACTATAGACCAATATCCTTAATAAACATAGATGCAAAAATTCTCAACAAGATACTTGCAAACCACATACAGACACACATCAAAAAGATCATCCACCATGATCAAGTTGGCTTTATCCCAGAGATGCAAGGATGATTCAATAAATGTAAGTCAATAAATGTTATAAATCATATAACTGGGCTCAAAGACAAGAACTACATGGTCATCTCAATAGATGCAGAGAAGGCCTTTGACAAAAGTCAACATGCATTTATGTTCAAAGTCCTAGAGGGAATTGGACTGAAAGGAACATACCTCAACATAATTAAAGCCATATATAACAAACCCAGAGCCAACATCATTGTAAATGGAGAAAAACTGGAAGTACTCCCATTGAAATAAGGAACCAGACAAGGCTGTCCACTATCTCCACTTCTCTTTAACATAGTGCTTGAAACTCTTGCAAGAGCAATAAGACAAGAGCAGGAAATTAAAGGAGTAATAATTGGAAAAGAGGAGATCAAATTATCCCTTTTTGCATATGATATGATATTATATGTAAGAGATGCCAAAAATTCCTCCAGAAAACTCCTAGAAATTATTGACACATTCAGTAAAGTGGCAGGTTACAAAATTAACCTACGAAAGTCAGTAGCCGTTCTATATACCAATAACAAGCAGTCAGAGAAAGAGCACATGGAAACACTCCTCTTCAC